AATAAAGAAAAGCTCAAGGTCACCCTGGAAAAATTTAGATGGCATAGTGATTTTTTTCCTGAAAACAGGTTATACTTGTTATTAGATTAGGCAATAAAAGAAAACTATGCAAATTTTAATTCAAGATACACATCTTCCTTTTATATCCTCATTCCATGCCCCCTACCTTCTCCCTAACAGACTGGTGCAATTGGGCTGCTGCTATTAATCCATGAGTGCAGGACCAGGGTGACCCTTTTATCTGCCTTACAAAATGCTCAGCTTTTCAAAGAAGACCCTGACATAACTGTTGCATGTCCTCAGAGATTTTATTTGTAAATTCATGTCTACTTTTAGCAGCTGGGACCATTAGTGCTCTGAGGCACACCACAGCCTCCCTGGACCAGAAAAGCCTTCACAGGGTGGAGATAAATGGGACCATACCTCAGATCCAGGAGCTATGCTATTTGTGCTGGATCAAGACTTCTCAAGTGTTGTTGACTACCAAGGCTGGGGTAAGTGTTAAATGTGTAAATGGATGAGGTAGACAGAAAATAAGGTCGAGGTCAGTTCTGCATAGAAATGGGAGGATAGAGACGGACAACAATCATACAGAGATATTGATGTCCTTGACCACTCTGGAGGTCATCTCAGACTGCCCTCTGACTCCATTATAGAAAATAGAGTTTCTTGAATCCCTCAGGTATTCAGGCAGGCTTAATGCACACCAAAATTTATAATCAGTAAGTCCTTATTTGCTTGACACCTGAGTAGTCTCTGCTGCAATTAGAGATTTTAGTCTCTTGTTGCTTTCCTTTATGGGCTCAAGGCAAGTCAGTCAAATGGATATCTACGAGCAGCCTTTTTAAAAACAATGATAAAAGCAGACTTTCATTTTTATTTTTTTAATAAACGTTAAGAAATTGTGTATATTTAAGGCATACAACATAATGTTATGAGGTACATATAAATAGTAAAATGGTTGGTATAGTGAAGCACAGTAATTGGATTTGGCTCTTACTCGTATCAATCAGGCCAGCCAGGCAGGAGTAAAGCTACATATATTTGTAACTAATTATGTTCCTGAGTACCCAGGATCCTCACCATGTCCTCAGAAAGCCTGGAGGATCAGCAAACTCACCAGTCTGACCAGTGTCAGAGCATAGCTGGTACCCCCTGTATCTAATTTCCTCCATGTAGATAATCCTGGGGAATTTTGTGTGCAGAAACCTTAGGAGCCCACCAAGCTAGAAACCCTTGCTCCAGCATCCCCAGGTTCTCTCTCTTTTTTTTGTTTGTTTGTTTGTTTGTTTTTGGGTTTTTTTAGTGCAATATCAGGTGACTGCCTCATTAAATACCTTAGGAGAAGTTCTTCCTTGAACAGAAATAAGATAAGCATTTCATTATACTTACTTAGCTCTTAGTGGCAGCATGGAACACGCTTGCTTCTTTTGTGTTGAAGGACCCAAAATGTCACAATGGTTCCTTGGCCCTGAGGGAAATTAATGAGGAGATCTCTATGATATTAGCATATTGATGAATTTGGGATTGTTGAGGAATCATTCCATTTCATATCTTATGGGAGTTCACCTAATCCCACTAACCAAGGACCAGTCTTAAATATCTTTGGAGAAAGTACTCAAATTAGAAGAGGGTGAAACCACAGTGCCCTAAGTCTTGTGTTATGAACTCAAGAAAGGCAAATGTGTTTTAACTTGAAGAACTAAATGAAGTTTTCTCTTTAGGGAGAGGAATACGTAGTTTTTACAGTGATGGACTCAGAGAATTCAAAATCATGAGAAATAGCAGTGAGGATTACAGCTAATGCTTAAGTGACAGAGAGTATATTATATGCTTTATATGTTTTTCCTTAATTACTTCTTCACAAAACTATGAAGTATTATTATCTGAATTTTATATCGGGAAAATGAGGACAAAAGGGATTTTAAAGAGTGCTCAAGGTAGTACAGTTTACAAGTAACTGCAATAAAGCCATGTTTTGAACCCAGCCTGTCTAAATCTAGGTCTTAATGTCTTGTTTTTCAGATTAGATCACAGAAGGAGAGCTTCAGTGGGGAGACGATACTGGAAGTTGAGTAGTACAAGAGATGTTTGAGGCGTCTGAGGAAGACTTGAATTTGGAGGTCAAGTTTTGTTTCCTCAGGGAAGTCTTTGCTGAGTAGAAACTGGCTAATGTAATTTTTCTTCATAGCATATATCAATACAGCATTTTATGCATATATTGGAGATTATTTGATTAATTATATCTTATTAGACTATAAGATTAATATATCATCAAGCATGCATGTGTCTTACTCTTTAATATATATGAATCACCTAGAATAACTGACACATAATGGGCTGTCAATAAAAGTATTTTTGACAAAAGGATGAAATAAAAGAGCAGCCTTAGAAAGAATACAAGTGTATAAAATTGGAAGCCTAAGATATTGAAGAGAAATCATAGTGTTTAATGTAGGTTGTGGTTATAAACACTGGCTCAAGGAAAAGAGAAAAACATTCTGACTCAGAATATCTGAAGTTAATATGGCTGCCTCAAGAAAGTATAATTTCCCTGTTTCTAGAGATGTACAAGAAACTTCTAGGTGATCACTTTGCAGGATATCACATTTGGGGCTCAAGCATCATATAATTATTGAGCTACATATACTTTGTAACTTATTTGCCAATTAGAAGACAAGATTATATCCCATTTATTTATTTATTATTTAAAAAGTCAGATATTACTAGGATAGAGTCCAAAATCATTTATACTTTTACAAGATGGCCATCGACATGTTTACAATTGCTTTTTGTTGAAAGTTATAACTGAATTTTTGAATTTTTAAGAATATATAAATTTACACTAAAATTGGCAGTATACTCTTTTGTCATGATTTTAAAATATAAACAAAATAATAATTTCATTAGTAATTAAAACTTATACTAACATTATGACCTATATAATTTACGTTTATATTAATATAAACTTACTGTAGTATATGAGAAATGTATATTGTACCTCCTAAAACAAAATCATAACACACTATGAGTTGATCTTTTAATAATGTAGATTCAGGTGAGCAGTTGATTATTATAATTATTGTAGTACTCTTTCAGCTTATCTTAGTTTTTTTCACATTGTAAAAAATTTTTTAGATGAGAATGACTGAATAAACTTAATGTTAATGTCCCTTCTAAAAATGAGAATATTTGACTTCCAAAGACTGGACTTTGACAAGGTAAGAATGATGACTCTGACTCTGCCCACAGGGGACTCCAAAGACAAGACAGCCCCAGAATTTTTTTCTCTGTTTTCCCCTTCCCATTGACATAACCTCAAACCACAGCACACACACTCTGAAAAATCTTCCCTGACTTAACTCACCCACGTGCCCTTAGTCTCTGGCCTTCGTATTCCTTCCTGTGGCTTACTTTGTCTTTTTGGAGATTTCCTAGAGCACAAAACTGTGCAACCTTTGGACTGGCTGACCATGGAGTATAATTACTCTAAACTGTCATACTTGAAAGCCAGCAAAACAGACCAAAATAGATATGTTTTATGATCAAAATAATGCATATGACTAATCAAGAAAACAGGAAGAAATTTATTATATTTGATTAGGTTAGATTAAGTTATAAATGCATTAAAGAAAAGGTAATAAAGTGCCTCTTGGAGTATATAGAGGGAAAGAACATGGTAGGAAGCATAGATCTAGCAAGGGAAGATTTTGTCTGATTCCTGAGGAAGGCTCCCAAGAGGAAATATCACTTTTAGCCATGGTCACTTACCCAAGTCTGTTAAAAATTTAATTACTGCATTCAATCTTTTATTAATTACTCATGAAACATTATTCATTGGCCTAATGTATGTACAGCATAGATACTGGATATAGAGAAAAAAATGAGTCAAATTTCACAGTGTAAGAGGAGAGAGACATACACATAATTATTAAATAATTTTATATTTCCAAAGGGAGGCATGTTGAAGATGTGTTCTCTCTCTAAAGGAGAAGACATAGAAGAACTTCATAGAGGAGAACATATTCAACAGTTTTTTGAATAGCTATTAGGAGCTTGCCAGGTGACCAAATGGACCCAGCCATTCTGTGCAGAAAAAAAACCATATGAAAGGGTATGTTGGTGTGAGAATGCATGCTTTTAGACATTTCACAACACTTAGATATGGTTGGAACATGACGTATGGTGTGGGATATGGTGGTAAATAATGCTAAACAGGGAGGCAGGACCAAGCTCAAGAAGAGATTTGCATGACATTGTATCAGGATTCTAGCAGGGAGCAGATAACACACTCTAATTAGATAATTTAAGAAGAATGTAATACATAAACAATTTAGAAAGGTTTGGGCATGTGTAGGGAAATTACAAGTTCTTGTAATGTGCCCTGTATAAGTGACAGTGGGCACTTTTACAATCCTTGGGCTGAGTGCAAGAGGAACCAGAACCAAGAAGACTTCTGAGACAGGGATGCAGTGGGCTTGCAACAACCCTGCCGGGAAAAAGCTGAAGGAATAAACACCTGCCCTCACTCTTCTTCCTCCCTCAATCTTTTGTTGGTATTTCTTATTGCCAAATCCAACTAGAAGTAGGAGGGCAAGTCAGTCTGTTGATGTATCCCATAGAGGAAAGTGTCCCAGGTCCCAGAACATAAATAAAAAATGGTGGAGGGTAGACCAGAAAAAGTTAACACAAGATATCCTGCAGCTAAGAAAAATTATATTTGCTTTACAGTTGATTATATTCAAGTGTTAGAATATTTAGTAGAAATGTAGAAGCATCACTGGAAGATTAAATTCCTGAAAAGAGGCTATTAGTTACAAAGCTAGTTTAATAACCTAGGCAAGAAGTGAGAAAGGCATGGCTTTGGGTAGAATTGGTGGGAATGAAAGGAAGGCAATACATTGAATGGATGTTTGGAGGAATAAATGGCATCTAGGATGGCATCATTTTGTTTTCTAATCACTTTTAGGAAGACAAAGCCTTCTGTTCTCTGCATTAGAATGCTCTCGGCATCTGTCACCAATGGCACTGCATTCCACCCTTCCACATTTATTCTACTTGGGATCCCTGGGATGCAAGACCAACATGTTTGGATTGCCATCCCCTTCTGCTCCATGTATGTCCTCGCCCTGGTTGGTAACGGCACTATTCTCTACATCATCATGACAGACAGAGCTCTGCACGAGCCAATGTACCTCTTCCTGTGCCTACTTTCCATCACTGACCTGGTTCTCTGTTCGACAACTTTGCCCAAAATGCTAACAATCTTCTGGCTTAGGTCCCACACAATTTCCTACCATGGTTGCCTCACCCAGATGTTTTTCGTCCATGCAGTCTTTGCCACAGAGTCAGCTATTCTGCTGGCCATGGCTTTTGACCGCTATGTGGCTATCTGCCGTCCACTTCATTACACATCCATCCTCAATGCCACCGTGATTGGGAAGATAGGTGTGGCATGTGTGTTTCGTGGCCTTCTCTTTGTTTTCCCCTTTGTCATCCTCATTGAGCGCTTACCCTTCTGTGGTCACCACATCATCCCACACACCTATTGTGAACACATGGGCATAGCCAAGCTAGCCTGTGCCAGCATCAAGACCAACACCATTTATGGTCTCACTGTAGCACTTTCAATCACGGGCATGGATGTGGTCCTCATTGCTACCTCCTATACCCTGATCTTGTGGGCTGTGCTGAGACTGCCCTCCAAGGATGCCCGATTCCGAGCATTTAGCACTTGTGGAGCACACATTTGTGTGATTCTTGTCTTCTACATCCCTGCCTTTTTTTCTTTTTTCACCCACCGCTTTGGCCACCACGTACCTCCTCAGGTCCACATTGTACTTGCAAATCTCTACCTTCTCGTGCCTCCTGTTCTCAACCCCCTGGTCTATGGCATTAACACCAAACAGATCCGCATAAGAATATTTGGCTATTTTATAGGGAGGAGGTAGCTATACCCTCTACATACTCCAAAGGTCAAAGGGAAAAGTTATAATTCATCTTTTACTTTCTTCAGCATCTCTTACCTTTGTACTAGAGGTTGCTGCTTCTGCTAATGCTAACAAGCCAGCACTGTGTATTACCTAAGAGTTTTTGAAGTACTTAGAACAACTCGTTTGCTCCTGCTAAATCTATAGAATACCATTTTTCTGTGAAGTTGTTATGTGGCCTCTTACTGGGCCTTTAGGTCAAGAGGCAATATTGCACACTTGAAAGTAAAAATCATGTACAGAAATTCCATGTACTAGAGGTATGGAAAAAAATGTAAAAGAACTATTTACTTGTCACTTCAAGAGATTGAGAATATATTTTTTAAACCAAGAGTGTTTTCAGTGAGAGTGTCATCCTTAGGCCAGAGATGGCTGTGTGAGTCCAAGATCCCTGGATCTGAGATTATGTTTGAAATAGATGAGGATGACTGTGGGGTGATTTTTTGTGAGAAGCCTGGAAGTACATAATTCCCTGGGAAAGCTATAGCACTAGTTTCTCAGGAAATCACTTCAAAAGATGTCACTTTGTAGCTAGTATACTTTCCTCATGACTGATGAACTTTGACTTTTTTCCTGATATTCTAAAAGTGATGGGTTTAATATACAAATTATTCTGAGGACTACTATGGATTCAGCCTGACCCTTTGCTTACCATAATTAGTCAATAGCCCTTTGGGTATACAAGAATTTCCAGGGCATAGTTTCCTGCTAATGCTATCCAGTGTGTTAGTTGAGGTGACAAGAATCCTTCTCTAAACACCTGGCCTTCAAGTTTTAGCACAGGCTTACCTTCCACAAGACTTGGCAGTTTTTGTTTTCTGATCCTCCCCCACCCCGCCCGGAAGAAATAAATGCAAGCACCCAGTAGATTCTCCCGCACAGCATGATATTTTTCATCAGAGTCAACTTTTCACTATGTTTTATTACTAGAAACTCTCAATCTTCTAAAACATTCAATCTACTTTTCAACTTCAGTATCTATATTTCTTTCTTTTTCTATGGTCTGAGATTCAGCCTATCCACAGTTGACTTTGTAATGTGGTGTTTAATGAATAAATGTCATATAAACAGAAACTACAATTATTTATTGTGCTGTTGTAAAATACATATAACATAAACTTTGTCATTTTAACCATTTTTATGTGTACAATTCAGTGACATTAATTACATTTACAGTATTGTGCATATATCACCACTATTTATTTCTAAAACTTTTCATCACCTTAGACAGAAATTCTGTAATCATTAAGCAATAACTCCCCATTTCTCTTTCCATCCATCCCTAGAAATCTCTAACCTACTTTCTGAAGAGAGCACACATTTTGCAAGAACTTTAGAAACACTGTTCATTTATTTATTATAGCTGAGCATCCATTCAAAAATATTTATTGAAGCTCAACTATGTACCAGGCATAATATAATTTTACAGGTGAACAAGGCACAGTGCCAGACTTTAGGATATTCATATTCTAAGGAGAAAGGAATTACAATAGAACATGGCAATTGCAGTGATGAAGTGTAAATGATATTATGGGAGCAAAGAGGAAAATATGTGCATGTTAAGATAATTCTATTTTTTTCTTACAGTGAAGTAATCATTATTTTATGATCCATCTTGATTTGAGGCCCTCTTTTTATTGGTCTAGGGCAAAAAGGTACAACCTGTCCATAAATTAAGATCTATTTTTGATCTCGTGGTTCCTGTGTTGAGTAGCTATGAGATTTCTGTGAAAAAAAATCCCAACGAAAATTAATTGTAAAATCTTGCTTCATATATAGAGGAAAGAAAAATAAAAACTGTGAAGACCATCTCCTCTGTTGGAAATTATTAAAACTCACCAACCTAAGACCAAGAGGAACATATCTATACTCAAAAATTAGCTTTGTTAATCCTGCCACAGTAACAGAGAAAGCATTCCGAAGAACTACTGGGCAACACAGAGTTGGGAGGGGATTCTTGGAGGGGATTTTTTTTTTTTTTTGAGAATAAAATGATTTATTTGACTTTTTCCACCTCTAATAATATTGTCTGCTCCACTGATTTTTTCCATTTAACAACCTTTGAAAAGAGAATGTTTCTCTTTTGCTTTTCTGCACTTTATTTTCCTAGAAATTGAAAAACAAAATTGTTGACAACTTTTTTTTTGACTGGTAAGGGGATCACAACCCTTGGCATGGTGTGGTCTGCACCACGCTCAGACAGTGAGTGCACTGGCCATCCCTATATAGGATCCGAACCTGCAGCCTTGGTGCTACCGGTGCTGCATTCTCTCGAGTGAGCCACGGGACCGGCCCAAATTGTTGCCAAGTTTTAAGGGTCACATTTAAAAATCAGTTAGCCTGACAAATTATATGCCATCACAGCAGCAAGCTTGTAAGGAAGCTTGACTCGTCGTCTTCACGCAGTATAATTGTATAAAGCTAAGTGGTGCTATAAGCTAATAAAATGCAGAGGTTTGTGATATCATGAACAGCCATAATGGAAAGAAAACTTTGGCCAGGGTGAAAACCCATGTGAAAATACTTGCAATTTAACTGACTCTAAATTCTACAAACTTGTTCTCAGTTCCTGGAGATGGCCTAACTCTCTTTGCTAAAGATTCACTGATAAAAGTAAATTGTCCTCTTTGGTGAAAATTCTATGAAGCAAACCTTTTCTAAGACTTTTTCTTGTTTTACTATCCATAAGATTTCGGTTCAAATGAATTGACCAAATACCAGAGCTCAGCACTCTCGTTTCCTTGGCCCTCACTAGTGAGATGAAGCAAATTCTTGGGTATGATGGGCAGCCCAAGGTCACAGGAAGCCAAGATGATAGTAAGAGAAAACCACAGCTCATGGTTCCTTTTTATTTATTTTTATTATTTTTATAAATTTTCCATTATCAACATACAATGTAGTTGATTTTTGTGTCCCTTTACCAATGCCTCCTTCCCCTCCCATTAACATCATATCTGTTCGCTCATCTTAACAAGTTCAAGAAAATGTGATTGCTGTGTCTTCTTCCCCCACCCTGCCTCTCTGCATTCGTTTGCATATTTAATTACTTATTTATTTTTATCTCCCACAAATAAGTGAGAACATGTGGTATTTCTCTTTCTGTGCCTGGCTTATTTCACTTAATTAATTTTTTCTAAGTCCATTCATGTTGCTGCCAATGGTAGTATTTCATTTTTTTTTTCTATAGCAGAGTAGAATTCCATTGTGTAGATATGCCACATTTACCTTATTCACTCACTGATGATGGGCATTTAGACTGGTTCCAACCCTTGGCTATTGTGAATAGTGCTGCAATAAACATGGCAGTACAGGTATCCCTTCAACATGATGATTTCCATTCCTCTGGGTGTATACCCAGCAGTAGAATAGCTGGGTCATATGATAGATCTATCTGTAATTGTTTGAGGAATATACATACCATTTTCCATAAAGGCTGCACCATTTTGCAGCCCCACTACCGGTGAAGGAGGTTTTCTTTTTCTCTGCAACCTCACCAGCATTTATCATTCTCAGTCTTTTGGATATTAGCCATCCTAACTAGAGTGAGATGGTATCTCAAAGTGGTTTTGATTTGCATTTCCCTAATGCTGAGGGGATTCTTATACAGTGTGAGCTTGTGCTTGATAATTTTAAGGAGGGAACTTGGAAATTTTGGGGAATTCTAAATTGGATGTGGTCAAGAAAATGTGGGTAATTCGAGATTGTATTTTAATATTTTTTTATCCAGGAAATATGGAGACAAAAGTGGGCTTGAGTTAACATCAGTAAAGAAGAAGCAGTGACTCATGTTAGCCAGAAGAGTTATGATGGGTCTTTTCTCTACCTTGTTCCAGACTTTGTCACAGAATTGCCTATCCATGTATCATTTATATCCTTTAGGCTTTGTTATTTTTCAGCTGGGAACAACATAATATGACTGCTGGCAGGCTTTTTCTTAAATCTCTTGGTATCTTCTTTTGGCCAAAAGCAGATAAGCTCAGCCTGCAAAACATTAATTTGTGTATTCCTGATAAACCATTGTCAGAATTTTATTAATCAGGTTGCTCAGAAAACAGCCTGTAGTTAGTCCTAAATGTTTCTTTTATTAAAGGATAATCTTTTGCATTATGTGATATGACAATAGACATTCAGTAGTATTTAAGACTCCAGACTGCATGCATTGAACAATTGCAATACAATTATCAGAAGGTCAATGACTATTAGTCCATATAATAGTCTCTGGAGCCAGGAACCTATATCACCAAACTCAGGCCACCAACCAACCAAACAAACAAAAGAATCCAAAATCCATTTTAATATACTTGTGAGATCCAGGAGGTTTTTTTCTTTAGTCTGTTTCACCCAAAATGTGGTGTTCAAATTGGTACAACAGACAGTCTTAAATGTGGTGAAAATGTTTCTTTGGCCAGCAAAGAGGAAAATGGTTAGTTGTAACTTCCCTAGTATGGGAAGAGCAGCCTGAGACAGTACACAGGAAGAGGTCAATTACTTCTCCTAGGAGCTTCCTGAGTACTACAAGTATTCATTTTGGAAGTCCATCCAGGTGCTCTTCACAGGAAAGTATGGTTCTCTGGAAGGCTACAGGATTTAAATATCTAAAAATCTCTTGGAATTACCCTTTATACACAAGATGGATTTCTGTGTGTCAGGAAAGCAAAAACCCTCCAGTGGAACAAAAACTGCATTAATGTGTACCGCATTAGGAGTGAGACAATTTTTGATTTTTCATGGAAAGAAAATTTTCTTGGGATTGAAATAGCACTTGTAAAGCAGACTAGAGAGTATAGGAAGATACTCACAATTGGAATAAAAATAGCCCCAATATTTGTTACTGCCCCTACTGACCTTGGGTTCACTGCAAATGATGTAATGAAACCTTCCAAGTTATCATGTTGACTTTGGATCAGGGTCCAATCCTTAAAACACTGAAGGTTGAAGTTAATGGTATGAGAAAAATGCAA